ATGTGTTCTATCCCTCAGATTCTTTTTTTTGGGGGGGGGGAGGTCCGGTCATGGGGCCTGAACTCTGGGCCTGGGCGCTGTCCCTCAGTTCTTCAGCTCAAGACTAGCGCTCTACCACTTGAGCCACAGCGCTACTTCCAGCTTTTTTCTTTTTGCTTATGTGGTGCTGAGGAATTGAACCCAGGGCCTCATGCATGCAAGGCAAGCGCTCTACCACTGAGCCACCTTCTCAGCCCCCCCTCAGATTCTTGATCTGATCAGAGGTAACAGACTCAGGTGCGGTAACAGTCAGGAGCTTCTGGGAACCAGGCAGGTGATTGCTAATGAGTGAAAGCAGACTGCACAAAGACCAGAACATTGGAGAATATGGAACCTGCAGCAGGTCTTCCCTGAGAACATCCAAGAAAGGATGTGCGTCTTCTGGGCTTTAAGGTAGGACCTAGGATCTCTCATCTCTGCAGACTTGGCTCATTGTGGCTCACCACCTGGGCTGCTCCACTCTGATCATTTTGAAAACAGGTCAGGAAAGCAATATTTGACCCTGATATGCTCATCTCAGCCTCCAGGAAGTTTACCTTACAAACTAGCACTCTGGAGGGAAAAAAGTCTTTTCAACAAGCAAGGACGAATCATATTCACTATCCTGTGCAAGAGTCTCGGCACAGTGCTGGAAGTACAATTGCGTCCTCCACAGTAATCAGCTTCAGTCCCAGAAGCCCTCTGGCCTCCAGGGTGATCAACCTCAGTTTCAGAGACTGTGCGGGTAGTGTAGGTGCTGGGACCTAGGGAGCCCAGGGAAAGCAGAAAGCAGGCCAGGAACCTAGTTAATTTTAATACTTTTATCATAAACCCAGGCTTAACTTGTAAGCTTAAAATGTATTGTCGGTTTGCTTTTTATGCTTTTTTCTTGTTGTTGTTGTTGCTGGTCCTGGGGCTTGAATTAAGGGCCTGGGTACTCTACCACTTGAGCCACAGCTCTACTTCTGGATTTTTTGGTATTTTATTGGATATAAGATTTTCACAAACTTTCCTGTTCAGGCTGGCTTCGAACAGGATTTTCATCTCACCCTCCTAAGTAGCTAGGATGATAGGCATGAGCCACTGGTGCTGGGCTGGATTTTTTGTTCATTTGTTTTCTTGGCTTGGTTTTCTCTGAAATCCAAGTTTGGCAGCATAGAGGACCTACATGTCTGAATGCTTTGGTTGTAGATACACATCTGTGCCATGTTCAACAAGATCAGAAAGAAGGAGGCGAGGGGTCCAGGAAAGAATGTCAAAGCTGTATTTGTTTATCTGGTAAGGAGCTCTCATCCCTAGTTGTGGGCCTAGCTGGGAGCTAGCTGGATGTTGGAGGACCAAAAGGTCCTTCACTCAGCTGCTGCTAAAGCTTCAAGGCTTTCTGGGGTACCATCAGATAGGACAAACCCCACTGGGACCAAACCAGGTCTGTGAGGCTGTTCCTTACAAATGATGCTGGCTTTGGAACTTCCTTTCCTCTTAGAGGGAGGAGGCCTTTTGTTTCCTAGCAACCAGATGGCACCTCACCACATAGGTGAGAGAGGGGTGGGGCCTAGAGAATGCCTACTAGTTGTGTGTAGACACAATCCACTAAGAAGTGGTGGGCAAAGGCGCAAGACCCTGAATCACCAGATTTTTTTTTTCTGGATGAATTGATTTTTTTTTCAGGGCTTGGGTTTGTGAAAACCCAGCAAGGCTGAACTAATACTTCTCATCCACATCTGAAAATGGACCATTTCCTCTCTGACATTTTGAGAAATCCATGGTGGCCACAGGGCTAGAACCTTGGCTGATCATACACATTCATCTTTGCGTTCCAAGAAGCCCACAATGGCCTATCTAAAATCTCTGCTGTATGTATGCCAAGGGTAGTAAGGTGGCAAACCGGCTTTCTACCATGTAGCACTTCCATCAGTTGGCAGTGGTTGTGTGAGTCTGAGAAGCTCTGACTTGGATTTCATTAGCAAGTGTGCCTCGATGGGTTAGTAATGCCTGCCCAGATGTGATGCTTGCATCTATCTGTGCAATAGATTAGTAAGGCCTGCCCAGTTGAGAAAATTGTGTCATGAATAAATGATAATGTTCAACCGCTGGCTTCTGGAGGTGCCTCAGATGGTGAAGCAGTTGCTAAGTGGATGATCTTGTCCCTTAGAACATTTCATAAAACATTTTTTTCTAGTTATGGCCTTCCAAAGTCTGGGCATAATAAAAGAAAGGCAAATAAAAACAATATTGAGATACCACCTCACCCCAGTTAGAATGGCTAGAATCAAGAACTCTAATAACAACAGATGCTGGAGAGGATGTGGACAGAAGGGAACCTTACTGCATTGTTGGTGGGAGTGTAAACTTGTTCAACCACTTTGGAAAGCAGTATGGAGGTTCCTCAAAAGACTCCA